TTGCTAAACATCTTATATATATGATAAATGGAATGCTTCAGTAGGGAGTATTAGACTTAAAGATTTTTATGATTTGCAAAGTCTAAAGAATCAAGAATATTTATACATTATTTCGAAATAACGAACTAGAGCGACTACAATTAACATCGAATAATCGAATGAATAAAAGTTCTGCAGAAATAATTATAATATAAAATTGATATTCAATATATTTTTGAACTTTTATCTTATTTCATATATTTATTATTCAATATTTACTGTACTTAATAGATTTTGTATTTAATGTATTTTTTATTTAACATATTTTGTAATTAATATATTTGTAATGTGAAAACATAATATCTCTGATATGTGTAAATATTTTATGTTTACAATCAAAAAGGACTGCACGACAGGAGTTGTAATTTGTACCGTTACCTTTGCCAATAGTTATTTTTACAATTCGCAAAATATTTTCGAGGCAGCAAAAACAAAAAAAGTCAATTTTTTTAAATTATTTTTTCTCGCCATGTAATTCGAGCAATTGCTTTGGATATCTGCGAGCAAACACAACCAGCAAGAAAAATAATAAAGCAAACCAAAAAACAACAAGTGAAATACAAATTAAAGAAAATAATAAAAAAAAAAATAAAAAAAAAAAAAAATAAAACAAAAACAGAAATCAGAAAATATGACAAAGAAAGTGCGAGCAAACAGCTGCACAAACAAATTCGCGCTGCGTTGCGCTGCGCTTTGCTGCCTTTTGTGTCGGGTCAGTTACGAAAAAAAAAGAAGAGCGCTCGAACTGGAACTGGAACTGGAGTTGGTACTGCAACTGCAACTGCAACTGAGCTGAGAAGGAAAAACAAAAGTGGAAGAATGCTAAAGTCCCCAAAACAGGTGGCCAGCTCTGCTCTGATTTGCTTTGGCCTGGCTTTAACAAATCGCCAACTTGAATTACAGACTAGACGGGAAATGGGAAACCTTTGCGGCACGACTCGGCCCGATTCAGCAGTTTCCATCGACCAGCCACAGAAAGAACAAACAAACGCGAAACAATTGCAGCGACAGCAGCAGCGTCGGCTCTGTAAATAATTATTGCGAAATTCCTAAAGAAATCGCATTCATGTTAACCAGCAAGCTGATAAAAATGATAAAGATCTCGAAATATGTTCGACTCTATGATACTCGCCCATAGCTCAAACATAGAACTTGTAGTTTGTTTGCTCTAAAACTCTTTTAGCTACAGATATTTAATCATAAAATTTGATCAGAATTTCAATCTCTTTTAGCTTTCTGCACATATTTTTAATACATATATCAGAAGGCAAAGCTGCATATACCCTGTTCCATGGCGCTGAGCGAGTATTGAGTGTATAAAAAGTATCAAGATATATACAAAATATAAACATTCGGACAAAAAAGTGTCGACGCTGCGACGGCTTCTCTGGCATATTTTTCGAATTTTCAAGGTGCTTGGGAAAGAGACAAAAGAAAATGAATGGAAAACAAATAAGAGAGATCCATAACAATAATACTAATTATATAGTTAGTGACAGCTCTATTATATAGTTAGTCGATTGGTTCGACAAGATAGAGCTGGTATACAGATGCAGAGTATATATATGTGGAAATCCCTAACGGACTTCTTAAACGATCTCTACAAATGCAGTATTTTATATATAAGAGATATATCTATATATGCTAAGCTGATCTACTGATCAGAGAATTTTTGGTCATAAACTAAATTTTGTCATAAACTAACTAGAGTATCGCCTCGTCGAGCATATTGTGGCTTTTAAGTTCTGCTGATAGTTGCGAGTGTGAATAGCATATTATGTACACACTTACCATGTTAATTAACTTGTTTGCAATATTCGATGTTTTGGTTATTTGCTATTTGGCTACAATTTCTGCAAACAACAACAACAACAACAACAACACACACATGCAGTCATAAGTTTGTCATTGCAAATGTGTAAATTTTGATATTTAATTGCGTTAATTATTTTATACTTAGATTTTGACGAGGCAATTACAAACATTAATAAGTAATTATTTGTGTTTGGCCCATGGAACGAGACCAAATTAGAAATGTATCATAGTATATACAAGTCTAGAGCAAATACTTTCAAAAACGATTAGCAGCAGCAATGGAGTGACATCACATTAAATTGAACGAATGAAACATAGTGGAATGGAACACATATGGTTCATGAATTGACCACAATAATTGTGATTATTAAATTAATTTTTGCATGAAACACAATGTGGAACATTGTGGAATGGAACGCATGACATAATTGGAATGGAACACATGCTACCTGGATACATTATGCTACTTGGGTTTATTAACTACACATTTGCTACATGTTTGTCCATAATACTGCATGAAACACAATGTGGAACATTGTGGAATGAAACACCTATGACATATAATAACAAATATAATAAAGTACATTAAGCATACATTTGTTCATATTGCATAGCTAAATTCTAACAGAAAAACTTGCATGAAAGAAAATAAGGAATATACTGAAATTGAACACATTTTATAATAATTTTTTAAGCCAAAACTAAAACACAACTAGAAACAAACTGGAATAGACCAATGTGGCAGGGAACGCCAGGGCAAGAAATACGTTAATATTGGGAGCGTGAAATAAAACCAACTTTTTTTTTTAATATATAAAGCAATGGAATACTATGAAATGAAACAAATGCCAATCAGCGCCGAATAGCATGCAAACCACATAGACAATTTAGCAGAGTATGAGAGTTAACAACATTATTTCCATTTGTGTTTTTTTCTTAATGGAAAAAAAGTCGAAAGTGTAACAAATAATTAAATGAAAGAAACTACATTAAAAGCCATGATATGTCAATTAAAAACGAAATGAGCAGTAACAACAACAACAACGACGACGACGACAATATACGAATGTCTGATGTACTTTGATTAATTCAGATAAATTATTTAAAACACCGTTATCATTTCTGATAAAATATATATATATCTATATATATATATAAATATGCAAGAATTTTTAATTATTTTCAATCAACAAAAAACAACAACAACAGCATAAATAACTCAATGCAACGAAGAAAAAAAATATACTATTCAAATTGAAATTAATGACAATAATGATAGCGAATCGAATAATTTATTGTATTATAATTAATAAGCAAATATTACGGTTAATTTCAACAGTAATCCAAAAATGAAGGATTTAATGTGAAAAACAGGAGGAATAAAAAACAAGCTGCAGGTAAACAAATTATTTCACTTTACAGTGGACATCGCTTAATTAGTCAGGTAACAGGTACAGTGAGGCCTGCAAAAAACTGAACAGCTGCCAAAATAATTCTCACGGATTTGAAACCACTTTTCCAATTGAGTTCGACATTTGTTTTTAGCACAGCAGCATGACAAAAAGCTCGCTGATATGAAGGAAACTAATTCATTAATTGGATTTGGGTTCGATTTAGTTTTGAAAGGATTTAAGATTGAATCACAGAGCGGAAAATAAAAGAGAAGAGGTATTCATACTCTATAATAATAATAATAATATAATATTAATATTTAAATTTGTTAAGTTTTTTTATCTTTTAAATTTGTAAATATTATTATTCAATTTTTATTTATGTTAATTATAAGATAAGCAATTTCATGTATTTAATTTAATTACAATACACATTATTTTAAAATAATTTTTGTGTTCATAAAAATTTTAGATTAAATTTATTTGTATATTTATTTTTTATCAATTATTCCAGAAATTAAACTTTTTTTATTTCATTAAAGTATACAAAGTAACTTCCATTCTATAGATAAGTAAAAAGTTTATTATTTAACTGTACATTTTTAGTTACATTTCTTTACGTATTTATTTATTTCATTGCTTTCATTTTAAAAATGTTGAACCTACATTTTGCCATCAAATAAGCCTTATTAAAGTCATTAAAACAAAATAAATAAGGCACCTAAGATGGGCTTGAAAAATTGAAAATTTCTTCTTTCAATATTGGGTTTACTCATTTTTCTTAAGCATTAGACATAAGTAATCCAAGTTGAATTGAATCAAAGCTAAACTTTTATTTATTCTTTTTCCTTATCGGACACTCGTCCCCGCCTCTCTCTCTCTCTCTCTCTCTCTCTGTCTCGCTCTTTCATGTGAGCTGGTCTAACTTTTGTGCTGTCATGCAACTATTTACACACCAACACACAAACACACACGCGCACACACACACACACACACATAGATACTTGAAACTGTCGTTTTTTGTTTCTGGATTCTGTGAAAATATCAGCGACAAGGTGTTACATTTCCTTTTTATCACTAAAAGCCTTTGCAAACGAGCTACAGTATGTGCTCGATAGCGTGAACAATATAATAACAGATGCATATGCAAATTTGTATCTTGCGCAAAGTCAAAAATTGTATTTAATTTTCTTGAATTTTTCACGTTTTTCGCCTGATTGGACAAACTGTGTCAAACTTTGACAACAAATATTTATCGCCTTTGTTGATTATTTACTGTAGTACAGTAGTTCATTTGGTCATGTGTAAATTGAAAGTGTGTCGGCGGTTTGAGATTTTTGGGTCAATTTATTTGTTTTACTTTGATAACAAAAACAACAACAACACCGAAGACGAACATGAAGTTAAACAAAACAACAATCAGCATTGCAGATCGAATGCGTTGAGTTCTACTGCTAAACTGCCATTGCTACCCACTCCTACTACTCCTACTATTACTACTCTTTCTGCTAAAGAATGTCGCCCTGTTTTGCCTAATTTCCTGCTACGCTTTGAATTACCAACAAATTCCCACGGGCTGTTTGTTTTGTACTTGTTTTCGAGCAACATAAAATACCGAAAAAAAGTAAAAAAAAAAAAACGAATAAAGTAAAAACAACACAGAGCGAAGCAGAATAAGTGGAAGAAGAAATATATGCATGCTAAGAGGAATGGGTGCGGGGAGAAGGGGCAGAACATGCAGAAGACAGAACTTACCCGCGTAACATGAGCAGCTGTCCAAGCTAAATGCAGCAATGCCGAGCAGTAGCAGCGACATTAGCAGAGGCGGCGGCGTCGACAGCAGCAGCATTTTGAGCCAAGCTACTGCGGCTCTTCGTGTTGTTGTAGTTGATTTTTTCATTCTTCGTTTTGGTGGTGGTGCTGCTGCTGCTGGTTTTATGTTGACGCGCCGCAGCGACGACGCCAACGATCGTTGCTGCATTTGCGCCAGTTGTTGTTCTTCTTTTTCGTCTTCTTCTTCTTTTGCTTGTTGTTGTTGTGGCCTGTCGTCTGTCACTTTAAGCCTCGACGTTGCGCTTTTGATTGTTTTAATTTTCAGTTTTACTTTTAATATTAATTTCTTTCTATTTTCTTTGAATATCCCACAAGAGTTTTGTTTCTTTTTCTGTTTTACTAAATTGTCAATTTTTATTTATTGAACATTTTCTCAAACATTTTGTTGGTGCCTGAAATGAACAACAATCGGGGCGTGTGAGCATTAGAGGCGGGTAAGCAACACACACACACACACAGACATTCATACATTAAGGTAGTAGATGATGAGCAACAGAACGCAAAGTAAAACAAATGGTAACGTCACTTTGATCTGCCACTGCGCTTTGTGCTGTCATTCGCATAAAATCCCACTCACTCGCTTGCTCTCACTCATACACACCTGCCACAGGTAGAAACGCGAGCAAAAGAGAGCGAGAGCGCAACGGAGAGCGCGTATGAGCAAGGCCCATAAGCGATCAGCGCGCCAAGCCAAAGGCAGCAGCAACAGCAGCAGCGCAGTCAGCGTTTGTTTAATGGGAATTCTTCGTCTTCTTCTTTATATGCTGCGGCTACTACTGTTGTTGCTGTGGCTTTTTTGTGTTGTTGTTGAACCCTTTTCTTTTGGCTCTGTTTGTGGACTGGTTGCAAGAACTCGTTTTTACATGCAATTCTTTCATTTTAAGCTTAGCTTGCTTCCACTCACACAAGCACACACACACATACACACACACAAACAGGCACTCACATTCAAACACAGCTATAGAAAATTCATATCGGAATGTAAATAGATGTATATGTATGTACATATATCAATTGTTAATAATTATTAACATTTGTTTTCTTATCGACGCTTCGGCATAGCGTTTGTTGCACATGCGTTTTCATTTCATACAAATATTCATGCATGCACGCTCACACAGGCACTCGAAACAGAAAAAAAAGAACAACAAAAATATTGAAAGATCATTGCGCGCTGCCCGCTGCCGATCGACGCGCTAGCAGTAAAGATATACAACACATAAGACATACAACGTTTTTACCAGCTATGCTTTGGCTCTGTTTTCGCACGAACTACGACTATGCCAACGACGGCGGCGGCGACGGCAATAACGACGGCGACGACGACGACGATGACATACGGCAATCACTACCGTCCGGAACGCGCGCACAAAACAAACTGAAACCACTGCTCGCAACAAAACACCAGAAGCAGCAGCAGAAGGCAGCAGCACCAAAAGTTGTTGAGTGGGTTTTTGCTTAACATAAGACTGTTAATGCGCTTGCCATGTGAACTTCACTTGCGCTCTGTTTACACTCAAATTAACTGTTATGTTGCTGTCAGACAGCACTCAATGTTAATGTTAGCTCAAAATGGCACTGTTAGAATACGAATGCACAGTGGCTCACAGTTTAACGACAGTGTCATGATTATAAAAGACACTCAATTTGACAACCATTAATATTTCTGATATTATAAATGAATTTAACTGATATTCAATTTATAGTACGTGAAATCTAAATTCAAACTAAAGTCGATAGATATCTAGGTTATTTGAATAATCTTTGTTGACACAAGCAGACAATAGAGCTCACACCACTGTCGCGCAACAGATGCTGCCTTCTTAATGAACACAACTCGAAAACTTCACTCAAACGGCCGAACGAAAAGCGCTCAACTCAAGCATGCTTTCCATGTTGAGCATTAAATGACGGTTAAATTCAAAAAGTATATGCAAACTGCAAATGCAAAATGCATGTAAAGGCAAATAAAAATAGAATTAAATTCCGTTTAATGCAAATTGAAAAGTTTTGGCGTGTTTTCACGAAACTCCGAACACCAAACTTTAATTAATGAAATTTACATAATTGCAGTCAAACATAGCAATGGCGACGCGTTTTCAAATTTGATAAATTTGAGACAAATAGTTGATAAAAAATTCAATTACAATTTGCATATGTAATATATTAGCTATTAATGTTTTTTTTTTTTGTAGACTTTTGATATTTCTTTTAGCAAATTCTATATAAAAATACAAATGAATTATGAGTTCTTTGTGCGTCTACATATGTATGTGTGTGCTTATTTGTGTGTGCATGCATTCATTTCAAAATGCACTTAAAAATTGCTGTCACGTGTGTGTGTATATGTGTGTGTGTCGCGGCTTTTGCTAGAGGTCAGGTCAACTTCGTCGCCTGCCAATTAAAACTTTTTATGCGCTGCGGCTATACACAGACGACGCACACACATGCATGCACATAAATTATTTGTATGTGTGTGTGCCTGAGTATTGTAGCGCGCTTCAAGTAACTTTATTAATGCGATTTCAGTTAATTAACAGCAACAATTACACACACACACACACGCTCAGGCGCTGCTCAAAAATAATTTCCAAATAAGATAGAACATGGAAATAAAAGAGACGAGAGCGAGAGATTTGATCAGAGTATGTGAAATGCATTCACCATTCCATAAAAAAAAAACAAAGATTAACAGTTGCAGTAACTTTAAACGCATGCACACATTGCTATAATTAACATTGGCATGCGGATTGAGTTTACACTCAATGCGAGCACCCTCACTACCCACTGCGCGCCGTTCTCTGCTAACAAAGCCCAAGCGCAAGCATTGAGCATGCCAAACAAACACTCGGCTACCTAACGGTACCCACGCATTGCTTTGTTTTGAGTTCGTTTTTGTCGTCGTGCAACAAGTTGGCAAACGACTGCGCCTGCCTGTCTGTGCATATGCATGTGTGTGTGTGCGAGCGTGAGTGAGTGAGTGAGTGTATGCGTGTGCTTCGACGAGCTAATCAAAAATACCAGCATAAAAGACTGGCGAAAAAACGTTGCCTACCTTTGGGAGCTTTGCAAAATAAACGAATTCCGCTCAAAGAGCCCAAATGAAATGATGTTATCTACATACAAAATCCTGGCACCAAAACTGATGATTTCTAAAGCCAATGCATTTACTCTGACTCTCCAGTCTAGGCACCAGTGAGTCTATATGACATTACCAGAACATAGCAAATTGATATACTTTGAGGTTCGCTTGGCTTTTTGATCTAGGCAAAAAGGAGAGAGAGAGAATATTAAATTTTTAAAACGAATTTTGTTAATTGTAAAAGTTTTTCTGTTATCAAATGATTTCTACACATTTTAGCATTACGAAAAAGAAAAGAATGAACAGTTTGGGGAGGGGGCGAAGGCTTTAAGGCTACACGTTAAGCCTGCTCTGTTGTTGCAGTAGTAAAAATTCAGCTTTGACATTTTTGACATTACAACTTGATGCCCGAGTCTTTTGAATTTTTGAATGAATACGAATTTCGTTGCTGCTCAATGGCCCGAATAGCATGAATGATTTCAATGGCTTAAGCCAACTGAATTCCTATGTGTGCGGAGCTGCCTAACGGATCAACAGCTGCAATCAGAAAGCGGTGAGCTATGGCTCTGTTCATTAATGGAACTGTCCTGGGGCTAATGAGTGTGAAAGGAGTAGACCTTACACACACGCACACACTTACACGCCTTTCATGCAAATGCGTTGCATTAAGCTGTCTTTGGCAACTCTGTTATAGCTGTGATTGTTGGCCAAATTCACACCTATTTCGAATCGAAGGTTGAATTGATTTCAAAGCGCACTTTGTAAATTATGCTCGAGCACAACACCAGCTGCCATTTTTCCATTTTTTCCTGTTTTGCATTTGCTTTTGCTTTGCTTCGTTTTGTATCGATGCGGCAAACTGTGCGTATACGTAATGCGTTATCATGTCGTCTTATCTATTTGCGGCTGTACGTGACCATGGTTATGCGACAGAGCTGAAGGTGTTATCCAACCAGCCGCTGCATTCACCTCTCCTCTGTTGACACAAATCAACAGAAACAGAGACAGAAACTGAAACGGCTAAAAACAATACAACAACAACAACAACAACTGAGCATCGATACATTTACCTAATCACAAATAATCCTTTACGTGTGAGCAGTAGAGAACTGAATACAATTCTGTGGCAGCTCAAGACATACATCTCTGGGTGTATATGTAACGACAGAAAGATTCTCGAATCTGGATTATATAAATTTCATTTATTTCGCTCTGCGAACTGTGGAATTTGAACATTTGATTATTTGATAATTTTAATAATATTTATTAACAAAAAACAATATTCGAAACTCTAATCGTATTACCTGAAGTGGCATTTTGAGTTTTTTCCAATATTTTTTTTCAACAAATTTTCTCAAATATTCATCAATTTATATCTTGTGCTTATATTGTATATTTATTTTTTATATTCAATATTTTATTTATTTTAATTTTTTGTTATTTTTCTTTATATTATTTGTCTATTTACATTTTTGTATTTGATGTTATTTTATGTATTTTTTTTTTGTAAGTTTTGTTTTTATTTTGTTTTAATTTTTGTATTATCTTTTAAAATATTTTTAAAATTTTGTTTTAATTTTTTTTTATTATATTTTATCTTTTTTTTCATCTTTCTTCTTTTTTTTTTTTTGCTTATATAATTATTCTTTGATTTTTGTATTTTAGCTATTTATTTGTTTTATTGTTTTTAAAATATTTTTTATATTTTTGATGTTGATTTCTTTTTATATAATTTTAGTTTTTTTAGTAATACTTTATGTAATATGTATATAATTTTTTTTGACACATTTTTATTTTATTTATTTTAAATATTTTTATTGTTTTATTTTTATTTTCTACATATTTTACTATAATTTTTTTATATATTTTATTTTATTTCATATTTTATATTATTTAAATTTTTTATTAAATATTTTGAAATTTGTTTGAATTCTTTTGTTATATATTCATATGCATACGATAAGCGCAATGTGGATATTACTTATGCAGTTTCCAGCTTGGAGTCCTGTCGACGCGTTGACAAATGGGTTTTGGTCATTGAAGTGAGCACAGGATGAGCAGTAGCTGGCGTGGCAAATAGTTCAAATAACAGCAATGGAGAGATGGCAAATCGGCAGCTGTCAAATTTATTTGCGTATGAAAATCCAATTTCAGTTTTTGCAACATTCAGCTAGTCAACTGTTCAGCTGTACCTTGGCCACTTTTGTTGAGCAGCAA